CAGTGTAATCACAGGTAACTGTAAAGCTGACGCGCTGGTAAGCAAAGGCAACCTACTCACCTATCAGTAGAATGTGAACGGGTCTATTATCCTTTTGTGTGCCAGCGCTGGGCTGTGATTGGCCCTTTCGAGGTCGCAAGATCCTTTTGGCCCAAGATCGATTGTAAGAGATCCAGTAAGCTCTTTGCCCTCAGTAAGGCTGGCCTCATCCTAGTTGTGGAGGTTCTAACAGGTCATTGTTTTATCGGCGTCCACGCTGTAGGGTTGAGAATGTTACCGGATACCAGCTGCAGAAGCTATATGGAAGTAGACGAGGTGGAAATATCTAAAAACTTTCTTCTTGAGTGTCTCGCGTTTGCGAGATAAAGGCTTAAGTACTTATGAGCTCAGACTTTCAGATACTCGTATCCCCTCGTATCCCACCGAGCTGGTTGGAACAGATATTAAACACCTTATAAGATCGTAAATTCTATTTTTATGGCTTCACAAAGAACTACATACAATAGTCCAAGTGCGAACCCTTGATCGGCCATCGAAGCTAACCTTACCTACTGCATTCCGTTCATCTTGAAGGTGTGTTAAAAGTTAGCCTAAACTGTTTTTAATATTAGACTAAAGGAAACGAATACTAAAAAAGTATAATAATGAATATTTATTGATGCACATTATTAAATCATCATATATATGTAAACGTTTTCTTGTATGTATTAAAGCCATTGTGTTCCATGTTTCGAAATTTTAAAGGTCCATGCGAACTTCAGTCCATTCTTGTCGATATGATGCTTTGGTGGGAATACAATGTGTAATTTATTGCCGTTCAGAGACCACTAGAAGAAAACAATCATAAAAACTATTAAGTATAATGTAAATAAGAATATGAATTACATCGATTTGCGCATGCTCCATGCCCAAAAGCGTAACCGACATATCGTCGTTGCTTATGTCACTCATATCCTCCTCATAACCGAATAACAGTACATTCGATTTGGTATCTTTTGCCACGCTACCGAGCGGATGCAAATCTATTTCATTCGTATCGTAGGGATAGTCCAAAACGATAGCATAAATAATCGATGATGAATTAGTGGGATCCAACTGTTGTGTGTACCAGACATTGGGCGTAATGCTGTCGTTTTGGTAGACCCAAGGCTTGCTGCCATAAATAGCTTCACCATTAACGCTCAACCATTTACCCATGTCACGCAAACGCTCCTCGAAGATGGGTAAAATTGTGCCATATTTTGTGGGACCCACATTGATGAGAGCGTTGCCATTGCAGCTAACGGTTTTCACAATTTCTAATTTGAAATAAAATGTAGTCCTAAGCACAGCATCGATTTCCAATCTACTAAAAAGTCAAAATTACCGCCAATGAGTTCCTCCGAAGTCATAAAATCATTGAGTTCGACATCGAAGCGTTGTCCCCAGCTACTTTTGTCCAGCGTAAATGCATTTTCCCATTTGTGCGCCTGCAAAATGCCGGGATTGTAGCGATCTTGACAATTGTAGAAGTCGCCATGATGACACGCAGTGCCGAAACCCCAACGATCATTGGTCACAATAGTGTCGCGTACGGGACTGTCATTATATAACCTAAAAATACAAAATTTATATACTCTCTTAACTTCACAAGCTTGTCCCACGATATTTACCAAGCTATAAACTCCTCCGCCTTCCAATATTTGGCTGGCGCTTCCCAATCACCATCGGACCATAAAATTTCCGGCAGATACTCATTGACCAATTCCATTTGTTCTGGACGCATTTTTCTATTAACATAATTTTGTTCCAAAAATATGTGCAATTTATCATTGATATATAGACGATTGAACCATTCGAAGAGCGAATAGTATAGACCGAACCTAAGTGAAGTCTCTTTGCGTATGGCAGACGCGAGTTCACCTGAATTGAAGAACTTTTAAAATTATTATGGACTTAATTTGTGATAAGTTATTAGCAGCTCACGTATTATGTCTCGTTTCGGTCCCACATCCATCGAATTCCAGCTAAAAGATGATGTGGAGGGCCAAAGTGTGTAGCCGTCATGATGCTTGCTGGTTAGAACAACATATCTAGAAAGAAGTGGTCAGTAGAACTTAATAACTTAAAACAGTTTGATTATAATAGATGTGCGAGCTTCTTAGAAACCACCAAGCTCATGATTGGACGAAATTGGATTACTAATTAGTATTGAACAGTTCGACTTTCTGGTAACTCAATCTATAAGTTACAAGTATAAGCCGGAAAATCATCTAAGCCATGCAATCAGAAGTTCTTGAACAGTTCTAAAATTGAAAAATTTCTACCCCCAAGTGCTTCAACTTTTTGAAGAGTATTTTTTTTATACTTATTTCCACAATACGCTCTTTCTAGAGTCTTACAGTTAATCACGGCATTTCGTGTTAGAAAACAAGGCATGTAAAACCGTAAACTTGACTTGTTTTCTTCCTAATTAAGATAAAGCCTCTTTCTAGTATCGCTTATACTAGATTTGGATGCTCTCGCAACCAAAGTTCATAAGTTCTAGTTCCTTTATTTTAACAACTTTACGGAATTGTCGAAATTTTTTAATATTTTTCAGAAAGGTTCCACATCTGGTTCGCAAAAATACCGTAGTTGCCAAATCAGCACTATAATTTTTACTACACATTTTACTCACTTTGCTCCACTGTCGCGAAAGAGCAGCGCCCACTTTGTAGCATTGAATAATTCAGCGGTGAACTCATGTGCGAACTCTTGATAAGAGAATTTCGGCTTGTAATTGTTTTTCATAAAACTCAAATAGTTCGGATAATGTAAATCTAAAATTAGGAACTCATTGATAACACATACATATTTACATACAAACATTTATGCTACATGCTATGTGCCACTCACTTAACCAGTCCTGCCAGAACCATTCGGAACCGAAACTGGGCACCGAATATACGCCCCAATGTATGAAGATGCCGACTTTCGCCTCATCATACCAGCTAGGCAGTGGACGCTTATCGAGACTAGCCCAATTCGGTTCATAATGCACTCCGGTAACTGCATTGTTTAAGGTCAAGCAGATGAAACACACACCGAACAGCAGCCAGCGGCTCATTGTTTACACGCGTGTAAGTTAAAAATAAACGAAAACAAAATGAAAATATTGATATTGAATGTGATAATAGCTAGAGTGTATGGTAGATAAGCGTCGGCTCAATAAACGAGCGGATGTAAACAAACACTTCGATGCGAGTATTAAAGCTAGACTTGCTCGTTGAAATACAACTTGACACTGTGTTAGCGTTAAAGCTGTCGAAGAGTAACGATTTAGTTTGTAGCTTCCCAAGTACACACAGAAAAATTAGTATAAAAAATTATTATATATTATATATATATTTTTTTTCAGTTAACGTATATTTTTTGGTTAAGAGGTTAGATCAGCCTAGAAATTTCAAAATATCTGCATTTTTTTTTTGTTTTGGCTCAAATAACATTTTCAAGTTCTCATGACACTATCAAATTAGTAGATTAGGAAAAATAATGTTTCTACTGCTGTCCAATCCGCTTTAGTGCCGAAGCATTTGGTTTGTCAGCCTCAAACGTGCGTTTTTCTCTTTTTTTAATATTATCACGAAGTTTGTAACACCCAGAAGGAAACGTCGTAGATTCTCCATATAAGTAGTATATAAATGATTTAATCCGTCTGCATATGCGTGAACTAGTCTCTCAGTGTTTAAGATAATTTTTTATTTGACGAGATATCTTCACGTAAATTGGCGCAGATTATTGCCTAAGTCTTCAAAAAAGTTGCTCAGATTGGACAACTATAGCTTAAAGCTGACAGACAAACTGGCCGATCCAAACAAATTTGGAATTTTTATGGAAAACTCTTTAATTTGACAAGTTACTTTCACGAAATTCGGCATAAATTATTGTTCAAGGCAACGGTACAATCCACGAACATATTATTCAGATCGCACCACTATAGCATACAGCGGCCCTACAAACTGACCAATCAAAATCAAGATAAAAATCTTTGTATACCCTTTTATGCACTAAGAAATGCACCTGTGAAGGGTATTATAGCTTTGCTGCAACCAATGTTAACGTTTTGCTTGTTTTTATAAACAACTTACTGCTATTTTTTTATTTTAATCAATTAATTAAATAATAATTAAATTAATTAATTTACTATTATGACTTAAGACACTGTCTTTTATATTGTTTTAATTAGCACTAGCTCCTATAAAAACCACGTAATTTCAACAAACGAAAAAAAATTATTAGAATTAACAATTTCAGTTTTGAGGTTAGTTTTCGAAAACGTCTACTAAAACAGCAATAAATTACAAAATTCATTCAAGTTCTTACTAAAATGGCGATTTTATTTGATTTCTTTTAAAAATATTAATGCTCATCCGATCGTAAAATCGTTTGCAGCTGTATATACAAATGTTTTGATAAAAGTAATTAATTTAAATTAAATATAAATACGCTGCGAATGCTTAATTTATGTATAAGACTGTGAAAGCTTTTAACAAAATACTATAAATGCATTATTTTTATGGAAAAAATACTAATTTAATGCAATCGAAAGCAATAAAAGTGGTAAATATATTTATAGCTATGTATGTATGTATTAAATTATATTATATATATGTATATGTATAATTAGCATAAAATGTGAAATAACTTAATTACAAACAAACAACAAGTTAACACAATTTAAAAAAAAAGCTATGTATGTGTGTGCATGTGCGGAATTCTTTGAGAACTCCTTTCATGGCTATGGAATCTATATAAAAATGTAATCGTTTGCCCAGAGAAATTGTGACAGCTTTGCTTGTGTTGAATTTGTAATTGAATTAAATTGCAACTTTTTTTATGTTTATATATTTATGTATGTATGTATGTAAACTATGGCATTTAGTCTATTGCATAGGATTGCTGTGTGAGTGTGTATATAGTTGTAGTTGTAGTTGTAATAGTAGTAGTTTCTTTTGTTAATTATGTGGAACTATTGAAGTTTATTTTGTAAATTCTATTGTTATATCATAGTTTGTTGGTGTGTAGTTATTGTATGTATGTTTGTTTGTTTGTAGGCTGCAGCATCTCAGAAAACAGTTNATCCAATCGGTGACACGTAGACGGAATATTTCCGTTTTAGTCAGTATCCAATCGCGGTATTGATGTGGTATAAACTCAACCAAACGATCGGCTATCTCAGGATTCTTGAACATTATTAAGTAAATGACCACGACATTAATGGCCAGCAGTATGAAGAATGTGAAAACAGTTGTAAGTGCTGTGCTCGATTTGGATATAGACTTTTTCGCCGCACCATTTGCATGCTTTTTGGTTTTCGTAGCTTTGTTGTTAACATTTGTGGATGCAATCTTTACTTCAGTGCTTATGTCATTGTTATTGTTGTTGGTATTTGATTTCTTTGATTTCGATTTAGCTTTCTTAGTAGTTGACTTCTTTGATTTTGCATTTTCAAGCGGTTTCTCGTTTTCGACGTCAATATCCTCAGTTTGAGCAGTGGCGACCGTTAGCACTTCAAGTTTATACTGCTCTTTAGCCTTTTCCGCTTCGGCTTGCATGCGATTCAAAAATTTCACCTGCAATATGAAGCATATTATTATAAAAACTAATAAAAGTTAATTGAAAACTTACTGTATTCCTAGCTGAATCCTGACATTCTTTGGTGGTGAGGCAGAAGCCAACCACTTTAGCTAGTGCTGGCGTCAATGGGTTACCTTTCAAATCCAAATAACGTAAATTTGTTAAATTACCAAAACTTAGTGGCAGATGCTCCAATTTATTGTCGTACAAATCCAAATGTCGTAAATTTCGTAGTAAACCAAATTCATCGGGTAAATAACGTATTTGGTTTTTGCTTAGGTCAACTTTGACCAGACGTGTTAGCGTGATGAAACTTTTCTAAAATGTAAATTTATTATTCACCGTACATTATGAAATAATTAAAATTTTGCATAAAATCAATTATTTTATATAACTATGGAATTTCAATCAACATAAATAAACAAAACATCAAATATTCAATTGATAATGAAAGAAATCTATCAACATCAACATACTCCCAATGAAGTGATACAATTGCTCGACAAGTCCAACACAGTAACCCGCTTAAAAGAAGCCTGAAAATAAAAAGTGAAAAGTTTATACTTTATTCAACACAAAGCCATCTCACACTCTTTTGGCAAGTTGTAAAAAAATATAGCACACAAAGATACAAAAATGCACACAAACAAACTGTTATGCCAACAAGCAGCAGCAGCTTACTTTGAAAACACCCCTATGGTTGAATGGAAAGCGATTCGTTGCGATAAGGGTGCATCTATGAACTGGGCATATATAACCAGACAGCTACATACTAACTTGATGTGTACATGCATAGAAAGGTGTGGGGTTTAGTATGAAAGTGAAATTTTTTCAAGTATCACATAGATTTTTCAACCAGATTTTTTACATTCATTCTACTTATCATAATTGGTATTTAAAGCATATTTTTTGTAATACAACTTGCAAATAATTTTTCGTAATTATGTACTTACTATCTCTCGCACCGGTATCTCATTAATTCCACTCAAACTTAAGTCGCAAATATTATCATCGACCCTTTCCTTAACATTTACTTTCACTTTCTCAGCTTTCGGCATTTTGTTTCTTGCCTAATTCACGTATTTAAATGATAATTGCAAAATTTTATATGCACGTTTTATCCCGCTGCCTTCTGCACAAGCAATTTTTATTTGTTAAACAATTTTTTATCAACAAATCCAAATATATTGACGTGGTTTTCTCTAGCAGCTGCAGTATCCCTGGTAGCAGCTTATAAAGTTTAAGGTCAAGGATTTGGTGTTGTTTATGTCACAACGGGCCGGCAGCGCTACCACTTGTGTTATGGGATGTGTGATGCCTGATTGCTATTGGCAAATATGTGTTTCAATTCAATTCAAATATTGTTAAGCATTTTTAAACGAATACTGATAAAGTTAATGTAAATATTATGTAAGTGTATATAAATAAAAACAAATTTAAATATCTTATTTATGTATATAAGCGTTTTAAGTTAACTATAATATTCAGTTACGTACCGCAAAGTACAAAACATTTTTATTGTTGACGTAACATTTTTGGCACAGTGGTAACACTGTCGTACGAAGTAAACAAATACTCTGTTTACAGTACAATAATTCAACTTGGGAGAAAAGTTCTATAAAATGTTTATGTTTTTTAATGCACATTTCGTTGATTTGGAGGAGGAACCGCGTGTTATACGTAGACGATTAAGGGATAACACAAATGTGCTCGATTTGCCAAATACGCAGTATGTCGTTAATTGATTTTAGTTGTTTTTTTTTCTCAAAAACCTTAACGAAATTCGCATTATCTCTACAGATTTGTCAATCAATTTCGAGTGAGTAAAGAGGTTTTTAAAAATATTTTATTAGAAATAGCGCCTAAAATGGAGAAACGGTTTCGGTGCACATCCATACCAGAAATGACCAAATTAGCTTGCTTCTTCCGTGCTCTTGCTGGGAAATATCAAATGAATGTTGGCACAAACTCATATACTTGTGTATCACAAGGAACGACGTCAAAAATAGTGGGCGAATGTTTGGAAATTTTCGAAGATTCCTTTTGCGGAAAGTGGATAACTTTAGAAATGACTGCAAAGGAGGAATCTGAAACTAAACAAGCATTTTACAGAAACACCAAATTACCTGGTATAATTGGTTGTGTTGATTGCACCCACATACCAATAAAGCGTCCCACAATTGAAGTAAGACATTTATACCAGAATAAAAGTGGATCGTTTAGTATAAATACGCTAATGGTAAACTATAAACAAAGACCATACTATAAACTTTACATAAAACTAGTGAAATATAATATATAACAGATTTGTGATGCAAACTTGGTGGTGCGATATGTGGATGCTAGAACACCAGGTAAAAATGATGATGAATACGTTTGGCGACAAAGTGGTGCAAATGCATATTTGAAATCGTTGTATGATGCCGGAAAAAGAAATTTCTGGATTATAGGTAAAATCTATTTGATATCATATACAATTGTATGCTGGCAGGACTCAATAACATTTTATGTTTGTATACAGGTGACTCTAACTTGCCACTACAACCGTATTTGATGGCACCATATTTAAATCCCACTGAGACTTATGAAACTATTTACAACGAGAAACTGCTTAAAGCACAGCAATTCATAGAAAAATGTTTCAACGCTATTAAGAATAGATTTCGCTGTATAGCGGATGGCAAAGCCATATATTATCTGCCGGAGAAAGCAACTAAAATAATTAATGTTTGTTGTGCAATTCATAATGCGTGTATATTTTATAAAGACAATTTGGAATTTGGTAAGATAAATGCTGTGAATTCAAGGAATGGCAATTGTAATAGTAGCACTGAGTTTAATAGCGATGCAAATGCAACAGAGGAAACTTTAGAAATAAGAAGAAACGTAGCTAAAAATTTGAAAAATTCCAAAGGTTGTCCATAAAGTAAAATTAATGAAAAAAGTTAAAAAAAAAAATACAGAAGTTTGTACTTTGGTATTCTGAAAACATATTTTATGTTAATTTTTGTAAATAACCTTATTTAACACTTAAAAAAAGAAAAAAAAACTTTTCAAATAGAAACAAACTTTTACTGTCTAAAAAAAAATAAAACTATTATAACTCCGCCATTCTTTCCAAAGCAGCGGCTTGGCGTTCCAGAGCTAAAGTTTGCCTTTCCAGCAACTTCAGCTGTCGCTCCATTAACTCCTCTTGCCTATCGACAGCAGTTGTTAGTTTATGTAACGATAGACTCTGTCTGTCCATTATTTCTACCATTTCTTTTGATATTTTCATATATTGAACTTGGTGTTGTAATTGACGACGAAATAGAAAACTGCTGTGATCATCGGATTTTCGCTTACGAGTGCCAGTCGTACGATTTTTGGGTGCTGACGTCGGTTCTTCTTCTACCGATTCCTCATCAGTCATAGCAGTAACTGAAGGAGGGGACATTTTGGTGATCGTAACCATTGGCAATGATTTGTCAGCAGGTACACCAAAAGTTTCACCATTTGGTTTCGCAGCCTCGATGAGTTCAAGAATCTTCGCCATTGCTTTTTCACCTTCCGTTAATAGATGTTTGGGGTAACCCGCTTCTTCATTTTCTTCCATTTTCTTTTTTGTATTTAATTTCAAATTACGAAAGATCTACATTTAAAATTCGTTATTGGAAGAGTATGTGTGTATGTTATTAACGCAGTATTTACTTTTTTCCATTCACGCATGCTACGTTCAGCTGGTCCTATAGCATTTAGCTTTTTTGCTATTCTGTCCCAATCCTCTTGATTGCGTGGGGGGCCAAATGCTGGTGTATGTTTACCCAATTCTGGCTTCCTTTCGATCTCTCGCAATAATGAAGCGATTTGATCCTTTGTTGGTTCCTTTGTGCCGCTGCTGAATGAGTTTGATGCTGATGGCGGGTCGTCACACGCTACACCAACACTATCGCCAAACTCTGCTTGCAGTAGGTCGGCCACTGTTTGTTCCAGCGCGGTTAAGGGATATGGTTGAAAATGTTCATCACTCATTTTTTTCTTGGTTTTTGCCTTGTAGTTAATCCATACCTGCAGATGTGTATATATAAGTATAAATTGCATAACATTTTTATATATAATTTTAAGTATTACCCTCTGCCATTCTTTGCCTGTCCTACGTGGTGGCCCAAAACTGTTAAGCTCGTCCGCAATTTTTTTCCACTGCTCCTCTACTTGCTGCTTGCTTTGTCCGTACGTTCGCGCTCCTCGGGCAATTTGTGGATTTTTCTGCATCAAATGCACTAAGCGCTCGAACTGCTTTCTGTTCGTTACTTTAAGTAATCTTGAAAATAAAATTTTATATGTTAATAATTTATGCATGTAAATTCAAATTTTTTATGTACTTACGATTTTTCTGCCATCTCTCCAACACATCTGCTTCACTCAAGAATCCAAACTATAATGAAAAGTTTGTATATATATATAAAATGGCGACTGGCGACTCAGTTGACTGTGGCTACCTTGGACAATATTCCTTTGTTGTTAATGTTCTTGTATTTTTGAAGAAAATATTTAATGGTATTCTTTTACCTTTTTATTTTTGTTTTGCAACGTAGTATATATATTTTGTTAGAATTTCTCTACTCTTGTTCGCTTATGGTTGCAAATGGAAGTAAATTCGAAGTAAATTTATCCATTTGTATATCACGACGCTGAAGTAAGCGCTTTACGTGATAGGGTAGGTAAGTGTTGCCACTATGTATTGTAAAATAAGTGTGGATTAGTTTTTCTTTTCTAAAATTAGAATTAATCGGGTTTATTTTCACAACTATGAATCAAACTTACCATTTCATTTGGAACTATTTACATTCATAATGTTTATGTATACTAAAACGAGTATAGTCGTCGCTAGTTAAACTTATACTAAAATATATAATATGAATGGCTAATGGCAATTTACCACAGGTGACTGAGACGCCAGTCGCCATTTTACGCTTAATATCTACTACACTACTAGGCCTTATTATAGTATACAGATCAACGTAAAGGGGTATCATATTATACCATGAGACAGATTATATTTCAACAAGCATCAAGTGTAACGTGAGCACGTGGACGAGCGCCTAAAGGATAGCATTCGACTTTGTGTAATACCTTAATTGATTCTACTGTTCTTAAAACCAGCCATTTGACTGATTTTCACGATTGGTAATGGTGGCGCACTAAGTCCAAACAATAATGAAGACTTGAAACCAGTTTTCCCAAACGCCACCCCCACAAGGAATCAAATCAGGTTTTCCTCGACGTAAACCGAATCAAGTTCAATCTTCCCAAGACAGAAGAGTTGGCTAATCAACTTAAGAAAACGAATACTTCAAGGCAAACAGAGCGACTGGCGCTATCTCTAGGATAAATCATATCAAGAAGAAACCCTGAAGCTTTTAAGTCAGTTGCTTTGTCAACCACATCTACACCTGAACGTAATTATCTATTGCTAATGGATTACATTCTTGTGAATGGATGGGGCTGTAAAACTGTACTCGGCGCTTTTGTAATGAATACTCTCAGTTGCCTACAATATTTTGCGAGTTTCCAATTATAAATATACTGAATCCACTTATTTTCTAATTATTTTCGAATTATCACCAAACAAAATTTCTAAAATATATTATGAATTTTTCAAATCTTTTATGTAATTTTGTTGCTGTGAAATATTTTTAAGAATATACTTTATTTTTAATATTTCCTACATTCCTTCTTGTTTTCCTTTCTATTTAAATTAATTTTATTATCCTAACCCCGAAACTTTTAACTGTTGAGTCCACACCCTCCGGTTTTAATGTAAAAATAAAGCAAACATCTTTTTTCTTCGAAGTAAGTGAAACATTATTTATTAAATGTTGTCATACACAATTTGTGTAATTTAATAAAGAATAATTTAATCTTCCTCTTCTTCAGCAGCAGCACCACTGCCTCCTTGGTTCTTCTTCATGTTCTTCCTCTTCACGCGACCTGGACGGCCACCACCGAAGGGCGATTTCAGTGAGAAATCAATATGTTTCTGCGAGTCCAAACGCACGACAAACGATGGAATGTTTACCACTTGTCTGCGGACGCTGTAGAGGAATGAGCGAAAGAAAGCATGTCATTAACAATCGTAATTCTCAAATAAATTACATTTATATGCTGAAATATTATATATAAAGCTGTTCAGTTTTTGTAACTTACGCATTGATAGTTTGCTCAAACTTTACAAGTATATTTTTATAAAGCAAACTAATTGTGAAAAGACGTTGAGAGCCGGTACAGACTGTGCTGTTCGACACCCAAGTGGTCTTACTGAACATATTTTGTAATTCTCATGAATCCAATGACCAAAACAGTTGCATACTATCGCAGATATTTACCGAATGTGTCTTTGACGGATGAGAACGCGAGCATGATGAATGGACTTGGCCAACCCCAATTTGAAGACTTGAGTTTGCAAGCGACGCTCCAAGAAATCCTCAATTTTCAAACCCAACACGTAATCGAGCTTCATGCGGGATTCATCCAATACACCAATACGTACCAAACGACGCAACAAAGCGTTACCTGCAAAACAAATTTCACATTATTTAAGAGTTTCTTATTACTTACAAAATAACGATTACAACAAATAATTTTCAGCTAATAAAATATTATCGTCAAAATTTACTTCAGACAAGAAGTGTCAAATTTGCATATCATCACTTTAAACAATTAGTTGGCTCATATTGCGCTGTAAATTACCTTGGAACAATCTCTTCTCGTCTTTCTCATCCAAAGTCAACAGCTCACGAGCAGCTTTACGGATTTTAGCCAAAGCGTACTTGACACGCCAGACCTCACGCTTGTTGCGCAAACCATATTCACCAATGATTTTTAACTCCTGATCCAAACGTGCTTTTTCATAAGGACGACGTGGTGTCACATATGTCTTCGAGAAGACAGACGGTATGCGTCCGTTGACCATCTTTCCACTTCTTTAACCGAGTGCTAAAATTGTGGACATGTAAAAAGTTAATTAGAAAATCTTGAAATATCGCTAACATCTTAATAATAATGCTAGTAATTTGTTATTCACTATAAAATTTAATATTGCATATTGTTTTATAATGAATATTTCATACTATATTTATAATTTAGCACTAAAATTTAACAAATTAGAATTGTTACAATTTTCACGTACATTCGGCTCAACGATTGAAAAATGAAAGAACGATGTTGGTGAATTTAGGAAATTTGCTGTCAATTTGACAATACGGAAAGTGGGTTGTGGATTGTGTAATGTGGTAATAGAAAGTATCGTAATAGAGTGCTCTTGTGCTGTACACAGGGTGGTTTACTACATGAATGAGAAAATATGTTATAATATCCATGTTTATAGAACAACTATTGAACAATGGTATTTTGCCAGTTTTAATTGTCGAAACTCTTAGATATAAAAATTATATATTCACATTCTGTGCGCCTTATATTTCGTTTACATATGTAGTTTTGTTGTGAAGACGGCAGCCAGCTCTGTTACTACTAATTATTGGCATACGTCAAAATTTTTAATTTCAATATAAAACGATAAATTGTCATATTCAAGCAAGATTGAAAGTGTTTCAAAATACGTTATGTTATATGACAAATGTAAGGTTGACAAGCATTCAAGAAAGATTCAGAAATTGCCAAAATGTTAAATAAACATTTTTGTTTACATATAAATAATCAATA